ATGGATGAACACCGCCTGTTTTGGATACGAGCCTCGTTGTTGCGACGATGTGTATTGTTTTGCAAGCCCGAGTAATCACCAAACACCAATTACCCGTCATACATGTTTTAAATGACGCGTCAGACCGCTTCGACGTGATTGATATACGCCGGAGAGCTCGTGCCCCCCGTGTGGATGGACCAGCCATAATTACACGCGCCATGCGACTCGTGCCAGAGATGGCACAGTTTCGTTATTACACGTGTCGATATTACGGCCAAGTGGGGTAAAAAAAAAAAAAAACTTAAAAAAAGTTTCGTTTCGCAGGCAGCGGTAAAAATGGGCCCCTGTGACACCGTCGGGTGTACACTCTCTGAAAGACCAGTGACCTTTTGGCGGTGTCTATACGTATATGCGGTGCCCGTGACAAATGGTCCCCCGGCGTGTTCCTTCCCATCCGCTGTCTTTCCTTTTTTTCTTTTTTTTTTTCACAACTCGCCCATGTACTTGGGTATTTTAAGGCTGCAAGGGAGAAGTAAAATATATGAGGCAAAAAACCGGTTCTGGATAAGCGCGCAATGACCGCCGACTCCTCCGGGCGCTCGCGAAATTTGTGCTAAAAATATACGCGCAGATTCCTTTCCTCGGGCGACCAGCCGATCGATCGAGTTTTTTTGGTTCCTTTGGAACGAACGAAACGAAAACCAAACATACCTGCCTATCAAATTGTACTCGATGTTAAAACATTCATCGTTACGTATAAATGGTCTTTGATGTTCTTTTTTTTTTTTTTTTGCTATGATAAAGTGCAGAGAAACTGGAAAACGGGAAAAAACGACCGATACCATGAATATAGAAACATACACATATATAATTGTCTTCGAAAGTCGGTGCGGTCGCTTTCGCTGTAGTTTTCCAAGTTGAAAAACAAACGAGGGTGAGAAAGAAAAAACGAGGGATATACATGTATAGCATATAAAATCCAAGCTATTTCCGTACCCGGTAATCACATTGGCGCCTCCGCGCACTTGGCCTAGTTACTTTCTCAAATTACGACATTGGCAACCTTGAATCTCGGGCGAGGGAACGATTAGTTTTCCACCGGAGAAAGTATACGGAACAGCCACAAACACTGATTTATACCCATATACTTGATACTCACCGGTATCGTTTTTATCCTGTTGTTATTCAGAACATATTTTTACGGACTCACGAGAATCGGAATGCCTGTACAGATTTCAGTTGAAACAATCAACGGTTTGATGCTCCCTTTCTGAATAGTCGCTTATCGCCACCGTCATCGAGAGCCAATTGGAAGAAAAAAAAGACCAAAGCCCAAAATCGAGGGATCAGGATGTACTAGTGTGTTTTTTTTTTCTTTCTTGGATAGAAGCACCGCGCTCGGCTATAGAGTTTAACTGCAAAGGCAAAAGGTACACGTAGAGTTTATGCGCCGGAGGAAATCCTTTCGGAATATGAGAAAAAGCTTTTGTTTTTGAGAACTCGCGCGGAAGGATGGATACTTTTTCGAGCAGACGAGGGGATCTGATGTATATCCGTGCTCCTGGAATTTCATCTCTCACTCGGCATTGATTCAAAAATGTTCCTCCAAAAATAATCACTTTTCAACGTTAATGAAATCCCCCGAGCGGAACAAGCTGGTAAATTGCTGCAGTACTTATTAAAAAAAAAAAAACCACCCCCTGTATAATGTTGATTAAAAAATTCCCTCAGAAGCGTTTCCGGGAAACAACATCAATTTCCCTTTTGTGCACCTGCAATCGAAAAATGCTTTGGATTTTTATGGAAAATTCTCTCGTCGGATAAACGCTCGTACCCTCATCTATACTGCATAAACACGCATCGAATATAACCCTGGAAATTCCAAATAATAATTACTGCTAGGCTAGCGTGTGCTTTATTCGAAATTTTCGACTGGGTGCACGAGAGCTGCGCAGCATTTCATTAAGGGATATGAGAAACGCGAGCGTAAAACCTGGAAATTGGGGAGGGGGTAGGGTGTACACAGCGAGTGCAAAAAACAAAAGAGCAGCGTCAGCGCTTCTCTGGGATATCGATGGAAGGGTGTATACGTACGCTCCCCAGGGCGCATCTCCCCGATGACTCGCGTGTGCTCGGTTCGTCTCGTGACGACTGCACTTTTTCAAACGAGATCTCCCGCGTATACCTTATCGCGTCTGATTTTCCTTTTTTCATCGTATACTTACGTTCGGCATTTGACTAAGAGCTTTCTCGCATTTAACTCGGATGTGCCTGACTGTTGGGGTGCTTTATCCCCCCCCCCCTTTTCTTTTCATAGCTCGTCGCAGTGTTTATACGGATATTTATTGGAGAATTTTTTATTCTCCAGTTGTAGGAGAAGAAGAGTTGTTTGAAAAGCTCATTCGTTGGTCTTTTGCAACAAAAAAAAAAAAAAAAAAATACTGTTTAAAAAACTAAATTACTCGAATAAAAGTATTTTCCGTAATTTCTTGGAAACACCCTATTGGTGCTTCGGAGGGGGCTGATCATCAGTATTACTAGTCCCACAAGCAGCGACCAAACAAATTTCTTTTGCCTTACAAAAAATTACAAGGTATTTCATCATTTTTCCAACAAAGCTTTCACGTGTACAGCTGCTGCTCCGTCTTTTGTTGCGACAGTACGCCTTTGACCCAACGAAATTCCAAGCCAGCAAAGCTCAGGCGTATAAATCGCAACGACGTCGGAATTTCCAGCTATACTTATCCATCGACAAAAGGGGGGAAGAAAGTCCATGTGCCGTAAAAAGTGAATCGCGAATAAAATGTCACGTATCCTTGTCCCTTCCATACATGCGTGTACATACTATCGGGTGTCTCAGCCACATTAGTGCGTCAAAGCGATCGGGGCAATATTTACCATTATTTGAAACAGTGGAAGTAACACCTCATTAAGTACAATACAATACCATGTACTCTCCCATGGAAAATTAATATAATGAGAATAAAGTTGAAAAGATTTCAAGGAAGTAGAGGAAAAAAAATCTCTAAGCGCATTGTCGTAACTCAGCTCACACAGTCGAAAGTGACTCAAGACCCAACTGTACTTACGGCACTCACAAATCCCACTGTCCGCGTGTGACCAAAATTGTCAGCGCCTCTGCGTCATAGTAATCGCGGGGATGGAAATTACTTCGCGGAAAACCTCTCGAGAATTGCTCTTTTCCTCCTTCGCTCGGATTTTTAAATTGAAAAAAAAAAAAAAAAAAAAAAACTGGGGGGAAGGATACATACGTAGAGTTCAAAATACGACTAATTGTTACAGCACAGGTGGAAAATAGCATTTTAGTGGGATCGAAAAATTGATTGAGGCAAAAAGCGTGGGATTGAAAAACGAGTGGTAAATAACGAAAGGTTATCGAACGCAACGCATGATTTGCATTCGGGAGAAAGAAAGAAGTACGAAGAAAACAAAAATCAGAGGTTTTCTGTCTCAGATGGGAGCACATTTTTCTACAACAAAGGAGAAATTTTTCATTACCAACAGCCAAGGAATGTTTACGCTAGGACAATGCAATACCAAGCCTCTCTCTCTCTCTTCATTTTCCTTGGCAACGTAGACGATACGATCCCCATCAGCATCGATTCGGTACCGCTCGAGGAAAAGAAAGAAAAGTTTGCGACTCCAACCTCCGGGCAAAGCAACTTTTTCGAGGGAGTTGTATAGGCGTACGTATTGTAAAAGGAGGAGAACAATTTCATCGTCATTCGAGGCGTTATCAACAGAGGTTTACACACGCCAAGCTTTGGAAAAGGGAGGAAGAGCCATGTACAAGGAAAAAGGTAAATAAAGGCACTTCTCTCGTTAAAAAGCCATTGTGTGCCTCGCTCGGGTCTTTATCTCGAAAGAGTGTACATTTTTTCCCTGTTATTCTAGGCTGCTTCTCGTTTTTCATTCGCGTTTTTAACTCCCGTAATTGGGAACGACGGAGGGAGAGCTTGCGAGCGCGCAATAATTCAACGGGATTCCATTCTTCTACCAATTATGTCGAATTTCACGAACCATTTGATGCAGCTATCCGGTTGCCTCGTTCAACTTCCGCGGGTATACTTTACGGGCTTGCCTTCATGAAAATAAACCTCTTCGGTTTCATCTTGTTGTTTTCGTACACAAATCAAACGGAATGCTTTACGAGTCAAAGCTTCCATCGTGCATTTGCAGAGCCAGGGTATGGAAATTCCTTTGACAACTACATTGAGATGAGATTTTATACAATTATGCAGTCGCAAGCTCGAAAAACAAGAGCCATCGAAACGATTCACCTCCCAAGACTTTTTATTATGTTGTACAAAGTCTTTTGTTGCATGGCCATGACTCGCCCCCTCCAACTCTTGAACTTTGACTTGCTCCATCGATCCAGTACACGTTGGACTTGATACGTAACAAACGGGTCAGATAATAAACTCTACGCGTCTGGTAACCTTTCATTGAAAACTAAAGAATATCAACTGACTAACTCCCCCCCCCCTTCCTTAACACCACTCTTACAGTTTCACGTATGTATACCTTCCCCCACGCCAGATCAAACTATCTTTTGCAGTTTTCTTTTTTCTTCTTCTTTTCCCCAAAGAGGTGTTTGTCTCTCTTGTGGACGTCAAGGAAACGTAAAAGATTTTCTTTCGTCATCGTTTGGGACGACTTTGATATTTTCGGCCAGATTTTCCAAGTATAGGTAAAAAAATTTACCAGGTTATTCAAAGACGTACATCGTGCGTGAGCACCCGCACTTACCCGATCAGAAATAAATTACGTGTTGCTAAAAAAGAAAAAAAAGTGTCAAGTACAATTCGATTGCCGTAGATTTTCAACACTTGTAGGTGCAGTGCCCCTTTAAGGCACCCCGTGAGGTGGGAGGGTGGTAAACTATGCCCGGCCACAGGAAAGCAAGCAACTGCAGTTGACGGGTCAATTAGATATTATTATCATGATCTATATATATATATATATAACAGATACACATTGGGTTATTGATTATGTACCTGCGTAAACTCGGCACCGATGAAGGCTTGCTCCATACCGATCCATACGGTGATCGGTATGAGGAGCTGCTGGTACGGCTTCTTCAGCTGATACGCTGTCGCCGACAGCAACTGGATCCCGCTCAATTCCGCGCTGTCGCTGTTCCGCTTCTGCTTCTCCCCGTACCTGTAAACACACACACACAAACGCGCTTGCATAAGTATACATATATATACACACACACACACAATACCCTTGTAGGGTGTTGTTTGTGGGATTACCGATCCATCTGACGCGAAAAGAGGGTTGGGCTGAATTTGCGCGTGGTTGGGCCGTAGTAATATGCGGTAAGAGGATTATTTTCGCGAGCCGATGCAGCTACGGTCCTCTCAGCGGAGTAAGCGGCGAGGAGCGTGTGCATTTTGTACTCCCAGCAATATTTCACCCCTCCGTAAATCTGTCCATGAACGGAAAAAATATAAAATAAAAATAGTGGGGATGAGCGGCTATCTCGCTGGCCCCGGTAAAAAAAGAAGGAAAGACGAATAATGGAAACTCGCTGGGGCCGCGATTTTTTTCTTCTCTTTCTTTCTTTCACTGCTCGGGATAACAAAGAAGAGCCACAAATTAAACGGAGCAGCGGCGAAAAAAGGGGGATGGTTATGAACGCACTCGGGGCAACCTTCGGTCCGAGGTTTATTTTGGGATCCAAGGGGGGGGGGGAATAATTATGGAACACCAACACCCCCGATGGGAAAATCACCAGTTCTCGGGTACAGCGTTAAGCTCGATCGTGGCCCAAGCCGGAGATCATCCATTCAATATTAATGATTGCACCGCGCGATGCATCCGCAACTTATGGATATACAAGGCGCTCAAGCTGGTCCGTATGACCCTTGACGCTACGAGCCTCTGACGTTACAATCGCCTCCTCGAAGCTCTATTAGCCCCCTCGAGCTGATGTCTACCGTTTGGCTACTGAATTGAGCTCCTCTTCTCTGTGGTCAATCAATCGCCCCTTCCCCTTTTGTCCCTCTAAATCTCTTGAACCGAGAGATCTCTGCATCCAATGACTAGTGTATATTGGCACACGCATGTCTCACCTGTGTGATATTCTATAATACCTTTGTGCAAACTAAATGAGTTCAACTCCCTCCAGGGCAACTAGTACATATTATATGTATATAACTGTGATGATTATTGAATGAGAGAGAGAAATAAAGTACCGGTCGATACGCCCCGTGTAAATTGTGCGCCTCTGTACAATAAAGCGCGTCGCCGTAAAAAAAAAAAAAAAAAAAAAAAAAACCCGTGCAATAATTTCCACTCTCGAAACCCTGTACTATACGCCTATGTATGGAGTACGAAAAGGAACAGAGAGCAGGACTCGGGTGCTATACGTATACACATACATACGATCGCGGAAGAGGAGAAAAAGGAGGAGGAAGGTGCGTTACTCCCAAAGCCACGGGAGGGGGGGGAGTCGGGCCCAGGGAGATAACAATAGAGAGACAATGTGCTGGCCGGGCTTAATGAGTGGGCGATGACCCTCCTCCTCCTCCTCCTCCACGAGCGCAAAAAACCCGGCCGACGGCATTCCAAAGAACACGTTTGCCCGCTGCTGAGCGCTCTCCTCCCCGGGGGTCGTCACCTCTATACAATTTACAACAACTATATATGTATGNGTTCGATCGATGGGGGTAATCTTTTTTAATGCATTCCAGAACTGGCACTTGCTCTCTCTCTCTCTTTCTTGGGCTAACAAAAGATATACCGTACGTACGTACAAATACACGTACATATATATATATATACATATATATATATATGTACTATATGTGTATCGTTATTGTTATCGCTCGTTTAATGTGTGGGCGCGTGCCTGTCCGCGAGTGGTACTATCACGCTCATTGATATACACGTTGTCCTCTCCGGGCTACACAAGGGGCTGGGGCGATAAAAAACAAAATTTCGTACGCGCATCACTTGCACGCGGGTACATGTGATTGTAAAATAACAGCACCGTGTATACCCGTAGGAGGTACCTTGCAAGTTCGCATGGAGCTTTCGATCGACAGCTCTCAGAGCTACGTGACGCTTTAACTTAGCACTTTAGCGATGTTTTTTTTTCTTTTCTTGTTTTTTCCCCCTTCGAAAGTTGGATAGGGCGAGAATTTACGTCGCTCCGCTGTTTTGGCGGAAAAAAGGTGTGCCCAAAACTCGCGCCCAAATGTACCTTGGATCTGGCCGGGTGCCCGAGACACCCCGCCAAAGGATGATAACACGCGACTCGGATGATGCAGTGCAGTCGCGCACAGAGAGTAAGGACTTTTTCCACGCGCGTGCGCTTCCGGGGATGATTGATTTTTGTAGATACTTTTTTCTCGAGACAATCGTATCGTAAATTCACAATATTTTCAACCCGGCACTCCAAAAATAGTGTAAATGAAGCTTCAACCGCGTAAATGATCCACGAAATAAAACCACACTCGTTTGGGTCGGCGCGCGTGGTCGTATACGACAGAGCTTTTACCTCTATCTCTGTGCTTGTGCCCCTAAATCTCATTAACCCCTGCAAAGTATATATACGTACACGTTGTGTATCGGTATATATATATATATACTTACGCCTCGATTTGGTAAAACAAAAGACCAAAGGGGCGACAAGAGCCAGGAGTGTACAGACTCTAGTAGCAAACGGCAAATTCGCGATTCCCCCACAACCCCGGCCATCAAGTGCTCTTGGAGTGCAAAACTAAGTTAGTGCGCGTATTATGCTTGCGGAAGCCTCGAAACGTTGTTGCAGAAAAGGATGACAAACATTATATTATATATAGGTACGCGGTGTACACAATTACGGGAGTTTTCGTTACAAGACGACAACGTGCTGTTTTACCCGAGTTTTCGAAACATTTGCGCATCCGAAACTTCCAGCGGAACGTAAGAGAGAGAGAGAGAGAGAGAGAGAGAGAAGGAGAGTAAGGCAACGAAGCTCGAATCAACATTTGGAAACTAAAGCGATACATTTCCGTCGTCGTAGCAGTGAAGTGCACTCGGTATACGTACAGTGTACCTTTGGGAGTAACCGTACCTACCTCTCTCTCTCTCTCTCTCTCTAGATAGCTAGATAGCTTTTTTCTCTCCCCCATCGTACAGGTAGATATGTGCATACAGCACCGAAAAAATGGCACTTTCGCGAAAATTCCAAGGTCGATGGATGGGAAAATATAGTCCCCGGAGAAAAGTGCCTGCAGGTAATAGATACATACCACCGTATACAGGAGAGAGGATGAGATGCATGCAGAGGACGTGTAATATATATATATATATATAGTACAGCATCAGCCTTGCAAGGCCGTCGAGTGAGCGGTTATATCTCTCTCTCTCTTTTTTCCCACATGTGTGTGTGTCGCAAGTCTGAAGGGGGCCTCGAGAAATCGAGTGCAATGCCTCCGCGCGTCTCTGCACGATGATAAATATTATATGGCGTGCAGTCGGGCTGTTGATCTGTTCGTACGTATACGTACGTGCAAGCAGTACTTGGGGGGAAAAAAAAAGAAAATGAAAAATAGGCACGCGGTACGGATGAGCGAGCTTTATGACGAGTACGTATGTACATTTAGTGGTGGAAAGCAATTTTTACGCGCATGAAAGCTCGATTGATCAAGCTTTTGGGGGGGAGGGGCTATAAGGTAGGTGTATATCTAGAAGTGCTGTCACCTCGTCTAGGCCTAAAAATAACATGTTTGTCTTCAAGTAAAAATTGTTTTGGAGTTAGCATGAGTTTTGTTGGTGCAGTGGTATAATAATGGTCGACTCGTCATTGTTGCATCCTCGTGAAACGGTATAGCACGAAAATCATCCTTACGCAACTACGTGTCTCGCAATATTTTTTTTTTTTTTTTCTTTTTTTTCTCACCGAAATCCCGGGAAACAATGGCCGCGGAAAAATCTAGTCCATCATCTAAAAATATATCCGTACATACGGTAATGATAAATGGTTATATCCCCCACTCTACACACCTGTGTATGCGCTCTTCGGAGACAAATGCGTAAAGCAAAGTATAACGTTATGTACTAATAGGCATCGGGTATATCAATTATATATTTATAGCAAATAAATAATCAGCTATAGCCATTGCATAATGGATGGGAGACACAAGTTGAAATGAGAATACGAAAGTGTATACATCGTCTGTAACCTTGACTTTATAATGTATCACCCATCATATATACGTACTGCACAAATAACGATAAAGGCATACGTTTGTGTGTGTGTGTGTGTGTGTGTGAATCCTCCTTTGATACTGCACACGTCGTATGGCCGTGGACATACTTAATTTGCGTTACGTTCACGCAATAATTATGATGATGATGATGGTTGTACGTAAGTTCCGTATTGTACACTTTGAAGCGCAGTACTCGTGCATCTTCCGGCACTCGATAGCCGATCTCTATACCAATTTTTTTTTTTTACATAAGTGATGCATTAAGAAAAAGAAAAAAAAAAATGTATCGAGCAACAAAAATAAGCACTGCAAGTGTAGGGAATCTTGTTAATCACGAGTCTGAGCGCAAAGGACGAACGGCAGCCCGTCACTTTGTGACTAATTGTGACATACGTACAACACACGTATAGCAAGCCAAATCATCGTTTCCGTAGGCAATTAACGTGTACGAATTAATCGGCTTCCGATCCCCGTATGTACAAAACCAGTGACTCAGTGTGACTCGCAAAAAAAAAGCGCTCGATAAAAGTCTCCTTCCGAACGCGCACACGTTTATACTATCGATTTCGATATGCTAAAGGTTGCCTCTTGTTCCGATAAACAAATAAAGACGACCGATGCAAATCAATTTTTTATTTTACTTCTACGGGGGTGGAGGGTCCCGTGTTCTCCGCAATACAGTAATTTGCGCGTGTAAAAACTTTTTTACGGTATTGGAAAATGAGCCTTGCCTTTTATGATTTTTTGTTCTACTGTTTGTTCTGTCTTTTAATTATTTTAGCTGTAACACGAGTAGTCGGAGGAAGGGGTTTAATATTTTTTTAAGTAATAAAAATCCGTACATACGCGATGTTTAACGTAATATTTTTTTTCAATGATCGTAAAGATGTTGTTTTTTTTTTTTCCTTTACTTTTATTTTACCCACCGTTTGGGACATAAAAATGTTAAGTAAATTG